AGATGAATCTGAGTATAAAGAGAAATTGTGCTGAGTTTGTTGTGTGAGATGTCGATCCTTTGCTTGATCTTATCATTAGGTATTTATAACACCTTAGTAGCATGGTGGAGATCTGCGGCAGCATCCTGAAAAACCAATGACAGTGTAATATCTGCAACAAATTGATTAATTTGTTGGTGCTGCGATTATCCTCCTGAAAGCTCGCAACAAAAGAATAGTTTTGCTGCTGTTGGGGAAATAACCACTCAATCTCATCTGAAGAAATTCACACCAACTAATAAAATATCTGTCATCATGGGTGACACGTGGCAGCACTCCATTTGTTGTAAAATTAGGTATAAACAAGATGTGTATTGATAACTTTTTAAGTTGAGAAAATACTAAAAAGGTAAAACAAATTTTTTTTTTTTTCATCTTGTAAATATAAAATACTTTATAGATTAAAAGAAAAATATATTTTTACACCTCAAAGAGTCTTGTGTGAAGAGTGAAAACTTGCTAGCTTGCTTAAAGATTTTGTTTGATGAAGTATCATCTAATTCAAAACAAAAGGTGTTATTCAAAAGTTTATGAGACATTAATTAATAATTTAGACATTTAAATTAAATTCCTATACTACTACAATTTATAATCTCTTAAATAAATTTAATGATTTTTTATATTATTTTGTCTAAATTGATGAAATTAATAGATAGAAAAAAAATGTTATTGTAAGCTTATTAATTTTTCTCGACTGCTTATTAAATGTTGAAACAGAAAAAAAAAAAAAAAAAAAAAGGGGTGGAGGAAGAAAAAGGTTTGTTAAGGATGAAGTTGCAGGTAATTCTAAAGGTTGAGGACCAATTGCTCTTTTAAGAGGATTTCTCATCATAAACTGTCCATTAACTTAGGATTTGCCATGGCGGCAGCAGCAGCAGCGGCGGCAAGACACACAGTATGAACAGCTATCTCTTATACATATCTTTAGCATCTCTGCAGTCAAAAGAAAAAAAACCATAATTAGATCTTGTTAAAATGAGAATAATCCCGGTGAATCAGAGAGACCCATAAAACTTTATGCAAATAAAACAAAATACTACCTTTATTTACCCCTTCCTCCACATTCCATT